CACACACACACGCACAAACAAACACACGCAGATACACCAACACCACACACAGACACACACAAACAAATACACATACACAAACACACGTAGACACACCACCACCACAACCACCACCACCATACAACACCACACCACTAGACCACACTAAACACATGCACACATACACACACACACACACGCACACACACAGACACATGCACACACATAACATACACACACACGCGCGCACGCACACACACCACCACCACCACACCACTAGATCACACTACACTCAAATCCCCTAGCTCTTTGTCAACACGACACATTTGAGAAGACCTATGACAACTCCTCCCAACTATGTCGCAGTTGTCGTGTTCTGACCCTGCTATCGTTGTTGTCACATTCTCCTCACGTTCTTGACCCAGCATCCTTTTACGGGTGGCCACGTCCAGTATAATATTATGTAAGGCAGCGTGGTGGAATCAGGCTCTCGTCAACCTTTGGTCATGTAGAGTTATTGGTATCGTCTTAATGCTTGTTTACTTGTCTTTATATTGATGAAAAAAATATCAATTTATCTTGAATACAAGTCGAGATATTTGCGAAAGAAGGAGGTGGGGTTCACCTATTTTCAGAGGTAAAATTAAAGTGAAAATGGCTGCCAAAGATTAGTTATTTCCTTAGCTAAAGAGTCCGTGGTAACTAAAAATTTACATTTTTTGAACCTTTCATCAACGTTTTTCAGAAACTTCCACACATAAATGAGTTCTTTAATGGGTATGAAAGGTGTTGAGGCAAAAAACATAAATTTGATAAAAATTCACAAACCTGCGGAAAAATGCAAGTTTCTTCACTTTGATTATTTTGACGAGAGCCTGATTCCACCACGCTGCCTCACATATGCAAATTAAGGCCAAAGTTGTTGTTATAGTATTTATCTAAGACACAGCCAGCAGTACAAAATACCCCAATCTGGTCACCCAGCCAGAAGAGCGACTAAAACGGACTTTTCGGGGCCTGGCGTAGAACTGCGCAAGGCGATCAGAACGGATAATTTTTACCGGCGTATTATTGCGCCAAGAGACCTCAAAGCTATAATTAAACAGGTGTCTGTGTTTAGCGGTTAGGTGCTTCGCTGTCACACGCAGAAGACCCAAGTTCGATTCGCCAATGGGGAACATTTTCATCAAGTATCTCGTTCCTTCTGCTTGGATGTTGTATCGTTGTATCCCTTTCCGACCTTGTTGACATAAGTAACGTGTTCTCAGTCCCAATGTTCCGGAAGTATTATTTCGCCTGTGTTATACTCACGCATGCACGCACACACGCACACAAACACACACACACACACACACACACACACACACACACACACACA